GAGTGTTTCAGGCTGTGTTTTACCAAATCTCATTTTATTTGAATTCAATCGGCCTCAAATTGAGCAGCTTTATGATTTCTGTCTGAAGGACACGATCCACAGCTGCTCTCTGGGCTGGAGAGGAGCAGGTCCAGCAGCACCCTTTGCCCTCTGAAATGTTTTGGGTTATCAGGGATGGACACACCACAAAACCACACCTTAAACCACACAAGGCTCCCCAAATCAACCCTTTATTGCCTTATTCTGATAGAATTCACACCAAAATCAGCACTACGTGGCAGGCTGGGCTCATGCCCTCCTCCAGCAGCCTGTGAGATGAGCACCAGGGCATCAGTGATCAGGGGACTCCCCTGTCCCATCGGTGGCACAGAGGGTGAGGGCACGAAGAGCCCCTCCCAGCATGGATGTGGCACACCGTGGGTGTCACATGGATCAGGTCATGCCCAGCCAGCAGCCAGGACCACGCAGGAATCCTGCCAGGACCCTCCCCAAGGCACAGAGGTGTTTCCCTGGTGCTCCTGCTCACCGGAGGAGCCGGTTGGGCTCCCAGGTCTCTGCCCACCGGTGAGAATCCAGGACAGCCGCTGTCACAGGATGACACACCCGGTCCCCTGCGTATCCCTGACCCAGGAGATCACCAAGGGCTCTGCATTTCTGCCCCCCAGGAAGCCCCCCAGGAAGAAGAAAGGCCGGAGGTTCCCGGTGAGCCGGTCGGTGAAGGTGTAAATGTGGGAGCGGTCGCTGACGTTGTAGAAGGAGATTTCTCCTGCCTCGTAGTCCAGGAAGATCCCGACACGCCGGGGCCTCACGCTCAGGGTCAGGGGGGAGATGGGGGAGGTCAGGGCCTCGTAGCTGCCCCCGTTCTGCAGCCTCAGCACCCAGTAGCCGTTGTTTGGGGAGAAGAGGACGGTGCCTTTGCGGCCGGCGGACTCCCGGCACAGCCCCAGCCCCCACTCGGGCTTGTCTCCCACCTGCACCTCCCAGTAGTGGCGGCCTGAGAAGAAGCTCTGACTGCCCAACACCACTGGGGCGGTGCCAAACCTCTTGGGGTTGTCAAAGAGGGACAGGAGCAGCTTCTTGCTCCCGCGCCTCACGCTCTTGCGGTCCTCGGACACGCTGAGCTCCGGGTGCGCCGTCTCGGGGTCCAGGACCACGTCCACTGGAGAGAGAGAAGGGTGGAAGGACAGACAAGGCTTCAGGGGTCTGCAGGCATGGACACAGAATCACAGAATCATTGAATCACAGAATCAACCAGGTTGGAAGAGACCCGTGAGATCATCAAGTCCAACCTTTGACCCAACCCCACCTTGTCAACTACACCGTGGCACCGAGTGCCACATCCAGGTTCTTCCTAAACACCTCCAGGGATGGTGACTCCACCCCCTCCCTGGGCAGCCCCCTCCAAAGAGATCACTCTCTTTGTGAAGAACTTCTTCCTGATGTCCAACCTAAACCTCCCCCGTCGCAGCTTAAGACTGTGCCCTCTTGTCCTACTGCTGGTTGCCTGTGACCTGGATGAGGGTTCTGACAACCAGTTCCAGGTGTCCCTGTTTGAGCAGGGGGGTTGGACCAGGTGATCTTTGCAGGTCCCCTCCAACCTCAGCTGTTCTGTGTTTCTGTGGGTGCTGGGCTCCCCCAGACCTTCCAGCCTCCCACGGTTGTTTGCTCGTGCCTGTGGTTTTGCTCAGCCCCTGGCAATGGGGAAGTGCAATGTAGAAAATCGAGATAACCATAAACCACATCAAGATGTTTGGTATCTGCTGCAGAGCAGGGGCAGAACCAGGGTGGCTGAGAACCTTCAGAGAGAGCCAACACTGAGAGCAAGAGTTCACGGGCAACAGGGTGCCTCAAACCCCTGAGGGACCTCCAAGCCTTTAGGATCGACCCACAACTCACCTAAGACCACAACAAGGAAGGTCTCCCCACCATGAAACCATCCTGAACTCATCAGTGCACAAAGTGGGACCAGCTGGACAAAGCTTGTTGGAAAAGCCTCCCAGTGCCCTGGGGTATGGGGGCAACCAGAACCCAAATGTGCCAGGAGCTGGCACAAAAGCAGCCCCTTACCTTTGAACTTCTTCAGCATGTCCCTCATGCCTAGGCAGCGCTCGGGAATGCTGTAGTTTTCCTTCAGGGTCACTGACACAGGCTTGGGGGAATGGAATTTCACCTCCTCACACCTGGGAAGACAGGGATGCCCATGGGCTGTACCCAGAGCCCACAGCACGGCCCCTCTCCTGCTGGGAGTGGCATTAATGCCCTGCTGTTGGAGCTTCCCTGGAGCTCTGTGGCTGGGATGAGCACTAGGGATAACCATATCAGCAATCCTGATGGGATCAGAGTGGAACGATCCAGGGAGCAGCAGTGCCAGTCCCAGGGAAGGAAGGAGCAAGGCCACCAGGTAGCACGTCCCTTAGGAGGGGACACATCTCACATGTCACAAGCCAGGTAAGACCTTGGCTCTGAGCCCCTGGAAAAAGAGGATGGAACCTCTGAGGAATTGACTCAGTCCCTCCTGTGTCTACCCCAGGAGGACCAAACCAGACGCTGGACAGGGAGGACAAGGTGGCTGGTGTGGAGCAGACACAAACATCTCCCTCAGAACCTGGAGCAGCCAGGACAGTAGGAGGGAGAACCATGGTCCCTATCAGGAATAATCATAGATACCTACCAGGAATAATCATGGACACTCATGAGGAACAATCATGGGTACCTGTGAGGATTAATCATGGTACCCACCAAGAATGAGCACGGGTACCCACCTGCCCAGGATGCTTTTCATGTCCTAGGAGGAGAAGACAAAAGCCATTCTGGGTGTGTGGCTCAGCCCCTCATGCCCACCAGCCAACCCCAGGTGGCAAAGGCCCCAGGGCTGAGGCAGTGGGGCTGGTGGCATGGCCTGACCTTGAGCAGCCCGTCAGCCGGCTGCTGGCTCTTCTCCTTTATCTCCAGGATCAGGTCCTCCAGCAAGCATTTCTCCTCCACCAGCCTGGCCAGGTTTTCATTGATCAGCAGCAAGATCTGCTTCTCCTCCTCCTCCAGGGTCTGGAGCAGCAGCTTCTCCTCATCAGCCAGCAGCCGATGCAGCTTCCCAAACTCGCTCACGATCCTCTCCCGCTTTTTCTTCACCATCTCCTTGTGATGAGAAGATACGTGAGGTGAAGAGAGACAATATTAGCCAGGAAGCTGAGATGGAGCTGGGAAAGGCCCTGGGAAACCACCACATTTTTGACATAAGTGCATGAATTTTAAAAAGCAGCCAGAGGAAATTTGTGTCTTCCACCTCACCGGAATTCCCACTCCACATCCTCAGTTTACCAACAGCAGGACTTTGCCCCAAGGCATTTCTGCTCAGCTGGACCCCAGATGTCTTGGGGGGGGCTGTTGGGCTGCAAGGAGGTGCCTCCAGGTGCCAGGG